TTTCTCCAGAACGTCTTGATGGGCTTCCTGTCACACAGCAGTGAGCTGGAGCCAGCTGCATCTGCATGCATACCTGCATTAGGGTTCCCCAGCTGGGTACCAGCTCTTCTTCCCTGGTGAGGAGGAACCACTGTCCTTCTAAAGAGATAGAACTGAATCTGCACCGGTTTAAATTGAGTGGATGTTGCCATTTCTGTTACATCACACACATTTTGGGGAACAGGAGGAGACTACCTCTGCCAAGTGGCTTCCTCTCCTGCCTGCCTACAGCCTGGTTGCTGTCACAAACAAGTAGCCATTTGATGGAGCAGTGGGTAGGAGGAAAGGTGACTTTGCCAGGGGTGGAGTCTGTTGATGCTGGGCAGGAAGGAGGAGCCAGGGCCTGAAAGGTGGATCAGAGGCCCCTTAAGATAAAACAAAGCCTTATAGATCTGCTGCTGAGAAAGAAAAGGAAGTCTGTCTGGTCTCTTCAGAATGGAATTGGATTAGTGACAAACTTGAACAGCCGGTTCAGTCAAGAGAGAACTTAATTCCTCCTGTATTATTCACACGACTGATTCTAATCAGATGTAAAGAGACAGCTGGAATCGAGCAGCGGGTCAGCCCAATGCCTGGTGAGGAGACTTCATGTTCTTTTTGCCATCGTTAGGGAACTGGTAAGAGCACTTCGGGTTGGACACTTTAAGCAGGACCCTTGTGGTTTATAGGCTTCCCAAAGGAGCTTGCCTGACTGCCAGGATACTCGTGGCTGGTCTTGTGTGGATTCAGTGTGAGTTTTTATTTTAGTTTCTTTCTCGTTGCTGGGACAAAATACCTGACACTCACAAGTTAGAGGAGGAAAGATTTATTTTAGCTCACAGACTGAAGAGGTTTCAGTCCATAATCTGCTGGTTCCAAGGGCAGGGTAACACAGCAGAGAAGCACAGCAGAGGAGAAATAGTTCATGGTGTGGCAGGCAGAAGGCAGTAAGCCTTTCTTCTTTCCCTTTTTCTTTCATCCAGACTACAAGCCTATTGGTTGGTGCTGCATCTTCCCTCTTCAGTAAATTCATCATCCATACCCAGAACTATTTTAAACTAACCAGTGGACTAATCCGGTATCACACCCATGATCCAGTCACCTCCCAAAGGCCCCTCATGAGTACATCCAAATGTAAGCCGTAACATTTCTGAAGGACAGTGTGTGGCATGTATGGTCCCCAGTCATGTTCAGCAGAGCTCCACCCCCTTGTTTACAGAAGGATTCAAAGGAAGTCTACCAAGCCAGGTGTGGTGGTGCACACCTGTAATCCCAGCACTTGGGAGTGTAATCCCACAGTTGGCAGGAGGATTGCTGTAAGTTCGAGGCCAGCCTGGGCTACATAGTGAGTTCAAGGACAGCCTGAGCTATACAGTAAGACCCTGTCTCAATGCTGCCCCCCAAAAGGAAGTCTACTAGACCAGGGCAGGGTGATACAGCCACTGTCCGTGAGAGCCTGGTGGTATGCCCACACCTGAGCCTCTTCAGTTTCACCACCTGCCGAAATGCAGTGTGTTTGGAGAGCCCACACCCTGCCTGTGTGGGGTTGCTCCCTCCTGGACAAGGCTGGGGACAGGGCAGGCTGCTGCTATGCTGCCAGAAGGAGCACAGGCATCTTGGCTTGGAATTCCTGTGGTGGGTGGGACTCGCTGGGTGCTTTCAGTTCTGGATTCACAGTGCAGCATGGGACTAGGTAAGGGTCTTACTGGGATCATCTCCATGTACTTTCCGGCTCTGGCAAGCAGAGGTGTCGCAGTGCTGTGCAGAGAGAGCCAGGTCAGTCACTGAGCAGCAAATGGGCCAAGTGTTGCGCTCATGCACCTTAGGGTATCAGAGAATCACAGGGAAACCAGGAAGCTTGTTAGCCGATTTTCGTGAGTGGAAAAAGAAGACCCATAAAAGCAGTTTATTTCATGAAGGGCTAGCTTTGTGCCACTTCCTCTGAGCCTTCGTCTTTTCCTTTATGAACACTTCCTGTCTATAGCAGTGCTATAAATGTGACAGCAAGCTTTCTAGCATGGGCCTTGCCTGTTCTAGATATAGCAGGCGGCAAAGGGTCCCACAGATAAGGGGAGCCTACCCACTGGTGTGCCCAGCAGGGAGCACAGTCGGCAGACGCTCTTAGCAGTGCCCTGAAGGAAGAGCTTCCTGCACTCCTCTAGAAAACCTCCTTCCCTGGGGCTAGCAGGTCCCCTGAGCTCCTGCCTGAAGGAGTGGACCCCAAAGCTTCTCCCTGAAGGCCTTCTCGTCACTGCCTGCCTTCCCTCTGCTCTCTAGCATAAACCATGCTTCCTGGTCCTGCCGGGAGGAGAGCGTTTGATGTCTGAGATAAAGGATGATGCAGAGGGCATGGCAGCAACTGGAAGGTTCCAGCAGTGGGAAGTAAGTTTGTGTGCAAGGTTCCAGATGGAACTGCAAGTACCAGGACTGTGGTGAGGGTAGAGGTTGGGGCGGCAGCCATGTTGCATACGGGCCAGGCAGTGACTACAGGAGGCTCCCAGCCACAGGAGGTCTGCAGCCGTCACTCACCAGTGCAGCCTGGTCTCAGCTGCCTCTTCTGGAAGACTGCAAGGGTGTCAGCTTTCCTCCAAGCCTCTCCTTTCCTTGGAGCTAAGGTCAAATTCCTGCTCTGGCAAGAGAAGACGTTGGGCTGAACCCTGCAGTGCAGTGGGGACTGGGAAGCATCCCACCTGCTGAAGAGAGCTTTGCATCCTAACAAGCACATGCTCGAGTAACTGGAATCCGGCACTGCCAAAGCCCTCCCTTGGCACCTCGAAGGGATAGCCAGCCTGCTCCTCAGATAGCGGATCCAGGAATTCTTAGAGCCAACATTGTGCAAATGGGCAAGATGCTCTCCCAGGCCCCCACAGCCTGGGCTCCCTGCCTGGGGAAGTGGCCAGGCCTCTTGGGGCAGTGCCTGTTCTCAAAGGCCAGCACCGCGCATGACCCTGCTTTTGCCCACACCCCTTCCAGACAATCCCTCTTCCCTGCTCCCCCTGGAAGGAGAACAGCGTTGGGTGGGGGAAGAAATGTGACGCCGCTATTAGTAATAACAGCTGCTGAGTTCTCTGCATGCGCAAGGCGCAGTGCTGGGCACTTCACACACACTTCCCATTTCTTCTGCATGTACCCTGGGGAGACAGGGCACTGCCACCACCACTTCACAGGGAAGAACTGAGACCAGAGGGAGTGAATGACCTGTCCAGGGCCACCCCTTCTGGTCACTGGGCCAGATGGGCTATGGACTGGGTATCCCTGTGTTTGACTCCAAGTGGCTGTGGGCATGGGCCTGACCCCTCCAGGCTGCCTGGCCCCTGAGGAGCCTCCTGAAGTCTTCTCAGAGGTCAAGGCAGGGATGTGAGCAGAAACATGGGCTGCATACCCTGGGCTTTAAACCCTTCACACAGAGGATTTTTGTCTCAGGAGCTTTCAGGCAGCTGAATGTCTTCCCAGGTTATCACCCTGGTCCCCATTATCACAGGGCACACAACTGCTGGCCCTTCTCTGGCGGCGTTGAAGAAGCCCATCCAAACAATTCCCTTCTGGAGGGAGTTCGGATTTAGCAAAGAAAAGCTCTCCATTCCCATCAGAACTGGGCTTCCAGAGGGCTCCTGGAATTGGTTCCACTGAAAGAAACAGCTCAGATGCCTCCTTGCATTCAGCTTGTTAGTGGGGAACTTCAAGGCCAAAAGATTTGGCAGGATTTAAAGAATCGGCTCTCAAGCTGTCTCATTTTGAGCACACTAATGCTTGCCTGTCTTTTGATGGTGAAGTGGCCGCTTTGGAGTCTCCTTCCCCGGCCTTTGCAGAGCTGTGGGTAGTGCTGAGGACTCTTCAGATTCAGAGGGTGTCTGAGGTCGGGGGAAGGACCAGACCAGCCAGCCCGCCCTGCGGTTAATCTCCAGAGGAGAAAGGCTTGGAGAGGCCCGGGGTGTTCAGTGAGGCCACGCAGTGAGCTGTGGACGGAGCACAGCGCTGTGTGGTGCTCTTGTTGTTCCCCTGTAGTCCACATCCCATTCACACGACAGACGGGCTCTGTGTTCCTGCTTGGAACTGGGCACTGAGATAAAATACGAAGGTGAAGAATGTGGACTCCTCTTGGGAATTCCGGAGCTGGATCTCGAGTCCACAGTCGTACCTCAAAGAGTCAATTTCAAAAGCAGAGCAGGGAGCAGGGCGCAGGGCAGCAGAAGGGCTTGTGCAGATGCTTCTGTTTGGGCAAAAGCTAGGAAGTGCCGCAGAGTCAGGGACTGAGGAAGCACAAACTGCCACACCCTCCAGCCCACCCCTCTGCTTTTGCATCTTGCTGACCCTGACCTTGGGCAGCGTCCTTCCTGCAGTTGCTGACCAGAGTGCAGCCCGCGAACCCTCATCCTCCCTTCTGAACTGATCGCACAGGCAGCCAGTCGCCTTCCACCTCACGGAGAGAAACCCTCTCAGCTGCTGGGTCATGGGCAGGTCTGCTTTGGGGACACCTGGGGAGCCAGGAGCAGAAGAGACGAGCTTGGGCTCATCTGACACATGCCTGCCATTCTGCTCCAGGGCCTGAGGACTGAGACCCTTGCCTATGGCTCCTCTGAGCCCAGGGAAAATGAGCATCCCCGGCTGGTGTCTCTGCAGACAGCACAGCACAAAGGTGGCGTCTCAAAGACTTGTAGACAGCAATGTGAGAATCTAACAAAATATCCAGGGACCTTCTGTCCTCTGTGAAAAGGCAACACTGATGACATTTTCCTGCTGACATGCTTCTGCCCATCAGCTATCCCTCCTGGTATGTCCTTATTTGTCACCTCCTAATTTAAATTCTGGGGCAAATCTAGAATACTGTTTGGGCTTGACCACCAGCCTCCTGAACATCTATTTGAACAGGCATCTCTGTCACTCCAAACCACCTTTGAGATTAGTCCCTGCTACATGACAGGCTCCCGTGTGAAGGAACGGAAACCAGGGCCCCTTTCAATTTTTTCTCTGCTCTCTTGCAGCTCACTTTGCAGAGCGCCAAGTCCCGAGTGGCTTTCTTTGAAGAGCTGTAGCAGGTGACCCGGCCACTCCAGGATCTGTGGCTTCAGCACCAGCGGGATGGTCGACTCCGTGGGAACCGTTCATAGTGGCCTGGCCGGGGGCTCCCGTGGGAGCTCTGGAATTTTTTCCAGCTGAGTGGAGAGTCCAGCCCACTTCATGTGCAATTGCCTTTGAACTATGACCCTGTAGAGATCTCTCTTATGGTGTTTTAGTTCTTCTGACTTGTGTCTTTCTTTTTTTCCTGGTTTTTTTTTTTTCTTTGAAAAGTGTCTTTGTCTTATGTGAGATCCTGTAGTTCCTTGGTCCCTGGCAGCCTGGTGTGTGTGTCTCACTGCCCAGTGCCAACCTCCACGGCCCCGTCTGGGAAGCAGGTGTAGGAGTGAAGGGTCAAGGCTGAAGCCTAGAAGGCCAGTTCCACCACCCGCGCTCCACCCAGCATTCCAGAATGTCCATCCCGCCGCAGGTGAGGCCCTGGCACACAGTGGACAAGCACAGCCTGGCTGAGTTAGGCCCAGAGTGACCTGCCTGCTGCTCACCATCGGGGAGCTCACCTGAAGCTCAGGACCAGCTCAGGTCCTCACCAGAGCACCCGGGTAGGGCTGCTGGGTTTGGGGGCAGCTGAGGGCAGAAGCTGTGATAAAGGCCCAGCAGCCAGCAGGGGGCTGGGAGTCAGGCAGAGCCGGGGAGGGATCTAACGGTACAGAGCGCTCACACCCTCCACCAGACCCCAGCCCAGGGCCTGAGAGCCAGAGAGCAGCCAGCTACGTGTATCTCCCGTCCCCACCAGCCTTAGACTCCTGCTTGGGCTGGTGATGTTCTCACCAATGCCTAGAAGCCTGGCTGTGACCAGGGACCTCTACAGGCCCCAAGGCCCCACGGGTGCTTCCTGTCTGGCCCCAACAACATTCAACCCCAGAACCCCGACTCCTACTGATCTGAGTCACCCCCACCTCTGGCCGTGTACCAGCAAGCCTTCCCAAAGCCTCTGTGGTGCCTGCGCCTCAGTTGCCATTGTCCTTGTTCCCCTGGAGGCCCTTTATTTCCTATCCTTTGAGGGCCCCTCAGAGTCCCTTTTGTCTTTCCCAGTAGGAGCCTGACACAGCTGCCTCAGAGCTGGCACTCACACAGGCTGGCACACAACTCGGTTCCTTGTGGGATTCAGAGCCACCTGTGATTGGGGGCCACATTCTGGCCCTTTCTTTCCTACATGGCTGCTGTTGCTGCTATGGCCAACTGGGGTCCTAACAGGGCCATTGTGCAGAGCAGGTGATATCGGCAGAAAGATTCCTTATCCACTGAAGAGGGCCTGGAGATCCCTTGATAGCAGAGACCATCTCCAGAGATTTTGTCTGGCTTTGAGGATCAAAGGCACTCATGAGATCCTGCCTTGTTTCCACTGACCTAAGGGCAGGCCCAGGCTGACCTAAGGGCATCCTCGGCTGGCCACCCCCTTCTGAGGCCACCTTGTCCCTCAAAAGTAAGTCCTGCGTGTGACCCAGCCCTTAGGGCGTGCAGGGTGGAACTCTAGTCTGGAACCGAGGAGTGGATGGCGGCCACCGAAAGGGAGAGTCCTCAGGACCTGCGTCCTCAGTGTTTACAAAGTCAGATCTGGCTCTTGTGTTTGACTTTATCTTTTCAGGCCTAAATTTCATCCTTGAATTTCTGCCAGGACTTAATTCCCTCCCAATCTGTAAATTTAATCTTTCAGCAGTGACTGTGGGGCACAAGAGCATGATGGTAGTTTATAAAAGTGATGTTGGGCCTTGTTTTTTAATTTAACTGCTGCACGTAGCTGAAGCTGGGAAGCGCCAAGCCATGTGGCCACACGGGACCTGGCTGGCTGGCGTCTGAGCTGTGGCAGGTGCACCTGGAGCCCCAGGGCAGACGGAGAGGGAGGGCAGGAACCACTCAGCCAGGGGTGCTCAGCTGTCCCCGAAGGGAGAAAGTGGGAGTCCTCACGATGTCTCGGACCCCAGTGGAAAAAGAAAGGATGAAAGCAGTGCCTGGTTTTCAGAGACTTGTGCTGTAGCTGCGGTAACTGTTCCTTCCAGGGAACATTTTTAGAGCATGGAAGCTTGTCAAGTGAGGAAGTCTCTGAAGTCCGTGGAGATTGGAGCCCTGGCCACGATTATGTCATTGGAGCGCTTCTGGCAGCTCTTGGGCCGAAGCACCGTGGTGCTGAACCCAGTCACGAGGCCCGTGCCCAGGTCAAGGCTCCCTGTGAGGCCACCCTCTGGGCCCGTAGCCATTCATGTGTCCTGCTCGAGGCCCTGCCTCAGCCACAGCAGTCCTCTGACCTGTGGTCGCCACTCAGTTCTTCATGTACCTGCCCGGCCCTGCTAGACAACACCCCATGGCATTATATAACACTTCTTGAGTGACTGTGTTTTGTCATCTTAGAGACAGGTTTCTCTCTCTCTTTCTTTTTCAAAAGTCCAGAGGCTGACAACCAGTGACAGTGACTAAGTGTTCCTCACTGACAGGGCTAGGGCCTTGCAGCCCCTGGCAGTGGCAGCCTTAGCAAAAATTCAGCCTCTGCCAGTTGCCCTAGGGCCAAGATGGCCTTTGGGGGCTCCTAGGGATGTGCCATCCGTTTTCAAAGGTGTCAAGCAACACTTCTTCCTGCGGGGCCTGAGTCACACCTCCTGTCAGGGCCCGACTGGGGAAGGTTATTTTCTATTCTGGGAGATTGTTGTAATTTAAGTGATTGTTTTAATAAAATCCTAAGCTGTAATACTTTGTCATGGGCTTTCTCAGTTGGTCACTCAAAGCATGGACGTGGTAAGCTCGAGCCTGAGTGGTGGGCTGCCTTTTGAGGGTCTGTGAAGAAAGGGCCTTCTGACTCCCCACGACTGCCCAGGACTTCGCCACTAGCTCCTTGTCTCTGGTGGCAAGAGGATCACCTCCATCCATTCTCATAACAGCTCCTGAAAAACACGTTGGCCTGAGCACTCTCCCTCTTCCCGTAGGTCATACCCGGGTCATGGAACATTCCCTGCATGGGGCCAAGTGCCTTGTTTTTTCTCTCTACAGCCCCAGCCCACCCAGACTTCAGATCTGAGAAGAGGACACTAGACCGGGGCATCCCTCCAGGCCTTTCTGCTTGTAGGGTTCCCTGGTCCAGGCTCTGGAGAGTGAGGGGCATGAGGAGCCGCTGGGGCCCGGGTAGAGCAGTTGAGACTCATCTCCTTTCACAGGGTTATGTGATGACATTTGTATTTGATGTTGAGAAACAATCACTGCAGAGCTTATGTGGGTTTTTTTTGTGTGTTTTTTCTTTTCTTTTTTTTTTTTTTTTTTGGTTGAGCCAGCATCTCTCATCATGTAGTTTAGGCTGACCTTGAACTCACTGTCTAGGCCAGGCTGTCCTCATACTCAAAGGGATCTTCATGCTTCAGCCTCCCAAGTGCTGGGATTACAGACACTCACCACCACTCCTGCCTTGTTTTTTCTTTTCTTTTTTTGAGACAAGGTCTCACTATGTAGTTCAGGCTGGCCTTGAACTTGCTTATATACCCCAGGCTGGTCTCAAACTCATGACAACCCTTCTGCCTCAGCCTCCCAAGGTGCTGGGATTACAGGCATGTGCCACAATGCCTGGCTTGTTTTTTCTAATTTTAATCAATGAAAGTCTGTTATTAAAACGAAAACTACTATAGGACAACTGTACAGCCTAAATCTTGACAGGTGACACAAAGTGGTTATCAGGACTTCTAAGGGATCTGACTGCCACATGTGAGAATACACCTTAGGTGTCTGTCACACAAACCAGTGAAGAAAATAGCCCATCACAATGGTCATGTGTCTCTAATGGTGTGGTCAGTGATGGGTCGCACACACGATAGTGATTGATTCACTGGGATCATACGGCCCCTGATGTCATAGCCATCTTTGTGTGAGTGCACTATGGTGTTCTAACACTATACTTCTCAGAATGTCATTCAGTGAAGCCCTGTCATTAAGTGATTCATGATATATACAAAATTTCCCCCAAATCTTTTGAGTTCATTACTAGGTTTTTTTAAATATTTCAGAAAGATATAAAATTAGACAATATTTTGTTAGCTTTAGATATGGTTAGTAACTTAGTAGACTTGTTATTAGATAAATAATAATATAAAAATTCTTCATTTCTCAAAGGTAAATTGTAGCCGGGTATGATGGCCCACACCTACAATCCCAGTACTCAGGAGGCTGAGGCAGGAGGATCGTTGCAAATTCGAGGCCAGCCTGGGCTACAAAGTGAGCTCAAGGCCAGCCTGAACTGCATAGCGAGACCCTGTCTCAAAAAGACAAAAAAAGTCAAAGGTAAATTGTTAGTTTTAATAACTGGAAGTAGCCTGATTTCTTTTATAGTCAAACCAGAGAAATGGCCTTCTACATACTGGTCTTGTTAAGCTGTCCAGGCAATATTTTTACCTAACCTTTTTTAAAAAGACAGCCCGACCCCCAAAAGATACTCACACTGAGATCCTGAGGTCCCCAATAATCAGGGTTAGAATTGACAACACTGTCTCACATTTTGGTATTGAGTTCAGCTGAATTCTCTGCTGGTGTTTTTAGTTGGTTGTGACCATGCTATAAACACAGGTTCAGAGTGGCATTTGCAGCCCCGTGGGATCCCGAAGTCAGTCATCCTGGCTGCCCTGCCAGTGTTCTTCCTTTGCTGTGGGCTGCGCCTGAGTGGGGAGTGCCTGGCAGCTACTCCCCAGGGCTGCCTGCCCCAGAAGCCTTCATGTGGAGGAGCGGATGAGGAGCTACCCACGTATAATGAAGAGCTGGCAGCCCGGCTCTGGGTGAAGGTACTGGGGAGATGGCTGCAACTGTGTCTAATCCAATCTTTGCCCGTCTGGGGAAGAGAAGGTAGAGCCAGTTGCATACACTTCCTCTCCCTCAAGCAGCCCAGGCAGCCTCTCCTCCAGTGAGAGGCCAAGGGTTCCCCTCCCCTCTCTTCCCTCCCAGCCGTGCAGGGCTCCCTGGCAGCCTGTCATTACTGCATTACGGCAGGATCCTGTGGCCGGCCCGCAGTCCCAGCCCTGGTAGGGAGACCGCAGCTTGCTTGCAGGGAGACAGCCCCGGGATCAGAGCAGTGACAGCGCAGCTCGGGCAAATTACAGGGCCGTTTATCAGCGCGGCAAGGATTCTGTCTGACTCAGAGAGGAACCCCCACCGTGTCCTCTCCCGGTTTCCACTTGATGCCCATTTCCCACTGGGGTGGTGGCCTCAGAATAGCACCTGGCATGTTGCCTCTGAGTTGAAATCAAGATACCTCCTGAGAACTCCGCAGTGGGAGCCGCGAGAGCCCGCCCGGCTCTCTGCTCTGCGAAGCTGCTCAGCTATGCTGCTCTGCTCTGCTCTGGGCCAGGGTAGAGGCTGCCTCTGCCTTGCCTTGCGGCTAGGCTCTTCCCCGCTCTGTAAAGACTGTTGACAGTGGCACCTGTGGGTGCCTCAAGGGTGTTGCCAGGATAACATAAAGAACAGAAGCAAAAAGTACTCTGATTTCTAAGAAAATGGGGGTGTGGATATGTAGCACTATTGCCACTATTTACAAGAAATAGAGGCTGCTGACGCGAAGGAAATCTTCACCACTAGCCATAGAGTGAGCTAGGGAAACAGCCTGGCCTAGCTGAGAGGCTCCGAGCCCTCCCCGACTCAGTCCTCAGACAAGCTTGGGTTCAAATCCCTACTGTGCCACTTCTCAGCCTTGTAAGTTTCCCTATCTGTAAAATGGGAATGTTAGAGGGTTTTGTGGGGACTAATGATATTTGGAAAGCCCTAAGTACAGTGCCTAAATTCTTGTGACTGCTGGGGGATGTGGTTCTTTGAATTCTTATTTTTAGGTGGGGGCAGGAGGACACAAAAAAGAGCCAAGGTGACTGAGAGGATGTCACAGCTCAAAGGCACCAGGCCCATCTACTCCCCCCGTGTGGCCCTCATCCCACCACCTGCACCCAGAGCTTAATGAACCTGCATCTGGCCTGTTTGTCGTCGCTATTTGCCCAGTGCCAGATGCAGAGCCTGGGAAATGATAGATAACTCTGGACTGGGGCTGCCGGGGAAGGGTGTTCTTGTTTTGTCACATTAATACCCCTTGCTCAGGTCAATAATTTACTGGAGGCTCAGAACGGGAGAGGCGCTGGGCAGGCCACACTTGACTTGGCACACAGAGCTCTTCCACGTACCTGCGGGTACCTGGGCTTTAAAAACCCAACTGCAGACACCAGGGAGGCACAGCAGTGACCTAATTTTCCCTTATCAGGCATAAGGAAGAAGTCCCCATGGAGCCTTGCCCATTTCCAATATAAATAATGTAATTCCCCTGCCTGCCTGGTTGGGGAGGAAGGGGCAGCCTTTGATCTGAAGGAATTAAGTCAGTAAACAAAAGCAAAGAAGGCTGCGGAGGTGTCTTGTGGCAGGCACCTGCTGTTCCATTTACCCTGAGAGAGAGGAGTTAAATTTCCACCAACCGATGGGGCAGCCCAGCCTAGGTCTCCCCAAGTCTCTCTTTATTCCCAGCTGAGCCCAAGTGGGCTGGTTTGTCACATTAATACCCCTTGCTCAGGGGTATTAGCACACAGCGGCAGCCAAGCCGCGTGTGGAGTCTCCACCCTCCCCAGGAGCAGTCTTTCCCAGCCTGGCCCTGTGTGTTTCTCAATGGAGGACGGTGTTCCGGAAGTACGTGAGAAGTGTGAGTAGCCTGGGATGCACAGCCTAGCCCCTGAGCCCCAGGCTGCAGAGGGCTCCTCGCTGGGAGGAAGCCCCTGTGGCTGGCAGAGGAGCCCAACTATCTACCAGCCCAGGCTTCAGGACAGCTGGCCACAGGAGGGTCTGGTCCCTCCAGCTCTCTGCTTCTGTGATGTGGCCTTGAGTAAGTCCTTGCCACCTCTGGGCTTCTATGCCTGAGCTGTGGAAGGCTTGAATCAAAAGATCCTTGAGGCCCCCTAGGTTCCAACTCCACAGGCTGGTCTCCTCGGGTGCTATGGGACCAGTACCACCCTCTGGAGAACCAAAAAGGGTCACTGGCCCAGGACCCCACAATGGTGGCCCACAGCCTTGACCATGAACTGAACTACACCCATGGACCATGAACTGAACTCTCCTGGGCCCGGGTTAGGGGATCCCTTCTAGTCCCATTGTTTCTCCTTGTCCTACGCCTCTCTGGTACATATTTATTGGGCAGAGGCCCTGGCGGTGCCAGCCCATGGCTTAATGGGAAGAGCACCAAGGCAGGGGGTTGCATAGCCACTCCGAGCGTTCCCACCACCTCCTGCCAAGCGCGAGTCCCAAGTCCCGTTAGCCTAGGCAGAGGACGGGGGTGGCGAGAGCCGCAGTGTTGGTTGGGCCTGCTGTGACAGTTGCTGTGCCCTGAAACCCACAGGGACCTCCCTGCTTTGCCCACACCCGATCCCTCCTCCACCCCTCCTTCCAGTCTTCTGCTCCCAGCCTGAGATCCTGAGTTCCTGAGGCTGAATCTATTAAGTCCTTCATATTAACCAGCAAAGGGGGAAACAACCCTCTTTCATCTTAACCGGAGTGAATTTGCATTAACACCTGGGGAGTTCTGTTTGCCTTGAGAAAGCACATTGCTATTCTGAGCTGCACACGCTGCGGAGTTAGTCGCAGTATCCTATTCTTTTATTAATACGGCTTTTCTCTCCTCCCTCCTCTTTTCCCATGGAAGGGGAAAGCGGTCGGGGATGCCAGGGCTCCCCACTCCACTAAGGAATGTCCTCT